TTTTTTTTGGAGAAAACAACCCGAGTGAATGCTAGGGGTGCTGATAGAAGCAGACACCATGAACATGCTCAGGGAGGCTCCATCTATTGGTGGGGAGCAACACCTGCTGGAAATCGGGTCCAGCGTCCCTCAACATTTATAATCGGGTAATCTGTAAGCAACCGGAATTCATGTTAACATGCCACGTGTCCATCCTCACCCCTCTGGGTGTCGGGTCCCCTTCCTCCACGACCGCGGCCTCCTCTTCCTCTGCCACGGCCTCTTCCTTGTCGCCCTCCCCCGCGGGCTGCAACGGTCGCGTAGTCCCCCTCCTGAACTACCGATCCGTTGTGTGCATCTCCCTCCAGACCATAGGAGAGAGTTTCGACACCTCCTTCTTCAAAGGTCAGAAGAAGGTTGTCTTTCCCAGGAATACTTCCTGAGATGGTACAGTTTTGCCATTTCTTGCCGGCTTGCAGATCCTTCCAATAATAGCAGTAGTTTGCCTCCCCCAAGAAACCAGCATGATCTAGCGCGATCTTGTTGAACTTCTCATAGGACATCCCCTCTTCCTTGGTACGAGGATATAGCTGAGTGCGGAGAGGATCGGGTAGTGCTCTAGCAAAGTTATTAAGTATCTGCATTGGGCCGAGTCCATGCTCAGCGCATTGCAGAAGTTCGTCCATGGTAGATTTGAGTGCAGATACACTTTTCCATTTCCTATCTGCGACATTTAAGATTAACATTTCAGTTCTCCGGATGAAGTTCTTATCTTCAAATCGTTCCCGGACCACTTTAAAGAAATTTTCAATACAGGTTTGTTGGGAATACTCTACCATAGACTAGCAATTAGCTTCTTTCTGCAAGGAAATTGCAAAAGTCATTTCATCTCCGGCCATACACGAACTGGCCATGAGAACCCTGTCCCAATACGGAATACGTTGCCCGTATACGTAGGATTCAACCGCTACAATCCAATGCAAAACACTTTCTTTTTTTTTGCCGGTATATGTCCACGACACTTTTACTTTAATCTTCCTAACTTCTCCTGTGTCTTCTTGTAGCACACCCTTCTTCTTCTTATCTCTATCTCCACCACCATTTCCATCTCCTCCATCTCCTCCACCGCTACGTACTCACGACGGGGGTTAAAGTTTTACTGATCTGCTCGTCTAATGTTACAATGTAAGCTTGCACATGTTGATCAACATCCGCTGCAAATCTTTGTTAGAAGGTATTCCAGACTCCCTCAAACTCGTACGATGGGCTTCAACTTTCTGCAAGGTCTTGCTCATCGCTGCCAACTCCTGCTTTGTATGGAGAACAGTTTCTGTCAAGAGGGCAAGTTGTTCTTCTGTTGCTGTTTGCTTTTCTTTCTGCGCTCGTAATTCTCTTTGCAACCTTTCACCCTCTACCTGCAGTCTTTTCCTCTCTTCCAGCTCTTGTCGCTTTGCTGCTAACATTTTGTTGTGCAGTTCTGTTCGTTTTTCTTCCAGCAAGAGTTCCTTTTCCCTTTTATCTTAACCCGACTGTTCATCACTTGCTGGAGTGCATCAGATCACATGCATTTGTACAGATTTCATAGATTGCGATGACTCACACAAAGCCCAATAGAAGATGAATGAGGACCGGGAAGCTCAACTCATTTATCATAACCAGATTAAGAGAGGAAATTCATGAGTCCAAAGTGTATAGCACCAATCAGAGTTACAAGTCTTCTTCGATCAACATGAGTACCAAACCTGGCGCACATCAGCGCCCGCTGACCAACGAGATAGGTGTACCAAGTCAGTCCCAAACTGCCTCTACTGTACTGAAAAGGAAAAGACAACTTTCAGCAAGAACTTACCCCTACAGCCGTTCAGAAGTGAAAAGACAATGCACCGTAGAAAGATATGTCATTGTGAACAAGATACATCATCCATCCATCCATCAAGGTGAGAACGCAATCGACATGCTCACACACACAACCAAGACCGCAGAGAAGAGGAAGAGGGCCCAGCACACCCCAACAGGCCATGAAGCACCAAGCAACCTCCCACGGGCATAACCAGGTCACACGGCACTTACCTGTGAGGCCCGGCCTCCAAAGATGGATAACGACTCATCCCCCTCTCTCATAGGTCCTCCTGGCCCCTAGCTACCACTACACGAAGTGTCCTAGCATGACTAAGAGGGCCTCCCTACACCCCTGTTACAACGCTGGATCCTTTGTGGATGTCTGAAGACCGAAGTAGCAACTTGCAACTCTTCGATGCAGATATGGCAGCCTCCGATCAAGTCTCCCTCTTGAGGGGAAGCCCAAAAGTCACTCAATGTCTTCTTGAAGTGCAGATTCCAGGTGCGACTACCTCTCCTCTTTCGCCCCCTTCTTCCTCCTCCTCAGGCTGGGCTGCTCGCCATAGCCAGGCTGAGCGCCCAGCTGCTCGTCACCTCCAGGCAGCGCTGCCCAAGTCCAGCGCTTGGCTCCAGCAGCACGTCGCCAATCTTTGCATACTGCAAATGAGGAGGAGCTGCTTGCTCCTCCTGAAGATATAGCGGCCTACTGACCTCTTGGGCGGTGACATCCTAGGCTGAGCGGCCTCCCAGCAACCGGTACCTCCTCCCTTTCAGAGGGAAACATCATTGCAGGCTCTGCTATCGTCCGGACAGGCCCTAGCCCGGAGCTACTTGGACTGGTACCGGCCTACCTCTAACCTACCGCTACTGGGCCTTGAAAAATGCCAACTTTTTGTCTTCTTCTGCTCGGCCTCCAGTACCCGACACTTCTACCACTACTTGAGTGGTACCGGCCTACCTACTACTTGAGTGTTTTTCCCGCTGCTCTAAGTGTCGCGGGCCTACCCCAGCTACTTGCGTGTTTTCCCCGCTGCAACCCTCGAAGTCACGGCCACAGGTAAGTACCGGCCCTGCGGGGCCTTTCAACGAACAAGTACCCTTGTGGGTAACACACACACGCAGCCGACAAGCACTCAGACAGACACGCCACCCAGCAGGCACACACACACACACACAGACTTGGAAACCACAGCAGAATGCGGGAATCTCAGCAAGGCATTCATTCCAGCAGCAAATCCCGGAAATCAGCAGTGTTCTCAGTCTGTGTTTTGGCGGGTCATTTCAATGGAGTAGAATGAGGAGAATAGAAGAACAAGAAGAGTTACACAAGTTGAAACCAATGTCTTCCCCCCAACTTCTTCTCCCTTCCTCCTCTTCCAATAATCAATTAAACACTGTGATAAATGAATGAATTAACAGGAGTCATGTCCGAGTATCCCCCCTTACTGCCAGCACTCCAAGAGACCTCCTTTCAGCCATAACCTCACTCTTCTTCACTCGTGTGCATCTCTAACTATGGTGGCTCATCCATGTTCATCACGAATGTTCAAAGGACAACACAACTACTACTCTGCCTCCCCCATCTCTTTGTGCCATGAAGTCCAAGACCAGCTGGTTCCCACACAGTGGCCTTCGGGATGCTTTGCCAACTTTAGGGAGTGGAGATAAAGGTCCACCACAGCCAAAAGTGAGTCTCTCAGGTCAATTCCTCTCCCTCTCCCCCTTCACATCCTCTACACCCGTCTACCACCCTTCTCAACAGCCTGGCATGAGTCATTTCACCCTCTACCTTCACAGCCTAGGCCTACACCCTACTACTACTACTACTACTCCATAGCCATGGAGGTCCTCCTCCTCGCCCTCCAGCTCCATGCTCAGCAGGAGCTCCACCTGCCTTCACCCTCTGGGCGGAACAACAGCATAACTGCCCAGTAA